TTTTAGGAAATACAACTATCAGTTTTGTCAACAAATATCTTCCTTAGGGTTGACCTATTTCTTAAAACATGTCATTGTACACCTTTTTCAGTCAGTTATGTCCTGTAATTGAGACAAATAAGTGCATAATTTTACATAGCATAAGCAGCCCTAGCCTTCTTACAACTCACAGTTACACCACTTGACAAACTGCTCCCAAGACTGATATTTAACCAGAAACCATCTGTAGGCCCTAATAGTTATTTGTGGTTGCTATTTATTATGACTGGTGATTGATTTCTGTCCTAATGGGTGACTGTACCTTTTCTGATTAGAGACAGATATGCCATACTAGTTGTTGAATATTTTATATGTCACCTTGATCACACACATTTATCTCAGACAGATAATACAAAAATAAGTAGTTCTTTCTTGGCATCCGTACATAAATCTTACTCCAGTCTATGTTTTCTTCTGGCCTGACAGTCCCATGGGTCTCTATTCATGAGGCTCTTAACATGGCTTCAAGATTGTACTTAAGTGTCTCAGCTGAAGACAATCAGGTGGCACTAGGCACAGCCAAGAATGGGGAAAAGGTAAACAAAAGGATAGTGGGCTTCATTAAACCATAAGGGCAGCAAGTCTCTTCAGGACCCTTACAACGTATGATGTAATTTGGTCATATTGATTCTAAAAGACTCCAACTTCCTTAAGTGGCCACTTTAAGGGACAGCAACATAATTTGGCCAGATGAGTTTCAGTAAATTAAAAGAAAGTTTACCTTTATTATTCACACATAATGAATATTAAGTATGAATAATATTCTAAAATATTCTTTTAAAAAGTATAATCTAATGACTGTTATAGTCCAGAAATGCAATGTAACAGGAGGAAACTGTGGCCAAGGCAAAAACACCTACAATTTCTGAAAGAATAGTTGGACTCAATGAAATAACTTTGTTATAAGCTGTTTACATAGTGTTGGCACAGGGCAGTCCTGTAATAAATGCTTGCTCTTTCATTGATGTATTAACAAAATAAATGCTGTTCTATGCTGAAACTCTGAATCACATTAAATTAGCACTAACATGACAATGAAGCTGCAGAATGGTATATGGGTACATCTCAGGAAAGAGCATTTTCCACTAATAAAATGAAGTAGCAGTGAAGTACCAAACTATAACACAAGAATTGATCTTGTGTGTATGGAGAAGACATCCATGCCAAACATGAGTGTTCATTCTGATTCAAATTTGTGAACTTAAGCAAAAGAAACACTTCGGAGAAATTCATCTTCATGAAAAAGAATTGTCATACCAAAGTCTCGATCTATTTAAAATGGATTTTGTAAATAATATGACTCATTTATTTTACGTATTGTCACTGCGTCTCTACAACAGACAAAGCAAAAGACTTGTTATTACACAGCTTCTACTCTCAAGCAGCTTACAATCAGAATTCAGAATCTCACCTCCCAACCTGTCCTCTTCAATATCCCCATCTCAGTATATTACTCATTTCTCATATAAGGAAGTTATCTTTAAAATCTCCTTCTCTTATGTCCCACAGCCTGTCAAAAATCAAGTCCTGATATTTCTACTTTGTAAATATCTATCAACTTCTTCTGAACCTCTCCATCTCTCTTTCTTCAGCCCTAGTTCAAACCATCATCATCCTCTCTCTTCTGGATCCCTCTGGCTGAGAACTCAGGCAGTGAAACCAGATTGTCTGAATTGAATTCCTGGCTCTGCCATTTAATATATGTGGAACCTTGGTAAAATTGTTCCTTTTCTGCTATGGTTTGAATGTTTATGTGGTCTAAAATTTATATGTTGAAACTTGTAAACCAAAAACGTATCTGAGATAAGTCTCAATCAATATAGTGTATTTTGCCAAGGTTAAGGATGCGCCTGAGACACAGCCTCAGGAGGTCCTAACAACTTGTGCCCAAGATGGTAAGGGTACAGCTTGGTTTTATACATTTTGGGAGACATGAAACATCAATCAATGCGTGTAAGATGTACAGGGGTTTGGTATGGAAACACAAGACAACTTGAAACAGAAGCTTCCAGGTCATAGATAGATTTAAAGATTTTCTGATTGGCAATTGGTTGAAAGAGTTATTATCTAAAGACCTGGAATCAATAGAAAGGAATGTCTGGGTTACAATAAGGGGTTGTGGGGCTGGGCACGGTGGCTCACGCCTGTAATCCCAGAATTTTGGGAGGTGGAGGCGGGCGGATCACGAGGTCAAGAGTTCGAGACCAGCCTGGCCAACATGGCAAAACTCCATCTCTACTAAAAATACAAAAATTAGCCGGTCATGATGGTACACACCTATAATCCCAGCTACTTAGGAGGCTGAGGCAGTAGAATCACTTGAACCCGGGAGGTGGAGGTTGCAGTGAGCCAAGATCACGCCATTGTACTCCAGCCTGGGTGACAAGAGCAAGGCTCCATCTCAAAAATAAATTAATTAATTAATTAAAATAAAATAAAGTAAGGGATTGTAGAAACCAAGGTTTTATCATGCAGATGAAAGCTCCAGGTAGCAGGATTTCAGAGAAAATAGACTGTTAATGTTTCTTATCAGATTTAAAGAGTCTGTTCTATCAGTCTTAAGATCTCTGTGTTGATGTTTGTGAAGCATGTCTGACCCCCATTTCCCATCATGGCCTAAACTAGTTTTTCCGAATAATTTGGAATGCCCTTGGCCAAAGGGAGAGGTGGGCTTAGAATTGACTTCGACTTTTATTTCTGGTTTACAAACTTAATCACCAATGTGATATTACAATGTGAGGCCTTTGGGAGGAGATGAGATCATGAGAGTGGAGCCCTTATGAATGTGATTAGTTACCCTTATAAGAAAAGCCCAAGAGGTCTGCCTTGTCCCCTTCCACCAAATAAGAACACTGCCAGAAGTCACTATCTGTGTACCAGAAAGTAGGCCCTTACCACACGTTAAATCTGCTGGCACCTTGACCTCGGATTTCGCAACCTCCACATCTGTGACAAACACATTTCTATTGTTTACAAGCCACCCACCTTACTGTATTTTGTTATGCAAGCCCAAATGGACTCAGACATCTTCCTTGTGCCTCAATTTGCTCATAGTTAACAGGAAAAATAAAATGGCCTACCTCATTATGATGATTTAATTAGCCATTACATTGTGTAAAGTCCTTAGAAGAAAGCCTGGCAACAAGTATTCAACACATTTTAGATAGCCTTCCCTGCTGCAATAACTTAAAAACATTAATCTGCATTTTTGCCCACTTGGCGTTATTATTTTGTTTTGGTTTTTGGTATATCCAGAGTGATTTCTCCTCTTCTTAAACAAAATCCTGATTGTGTCAAGACCTCGTTTCAATGACTTCCCATTATTCTTATGTTTAACCAAAATCCTTAATATTGCCTACAGGTTCCTGCATGATCTGGCTTTTTTTTTTCTTTTTATCCTCAATATCTGCCAGCTTTTGTTAAATTAATAATAATGCTCAACAAACAACTCCCCCAAATCTCAGTGACTTAAAATTTCAAGGGGTCATTTTTGCTCACATTACACACCAAATCTGGGCCAGCTAATCTCTGAGACTCTTCTCTAGCATGTGAGGGCAATTTTCACCACTGTCTTCACATTTGGGGATGAAGGGTGAAAGATCCACCTGGGTTCAGTGCATGCTGGTCTATCAAGGCAGAGGGCAGGAAAGAGAATCCTAGTTAAGCCATGCCATTGCATCGAAAGCACTAGCTCATGTATGAAAAAATATTATGTCTATTCATATTCCAATGTCCAAAAATATATAATAAGGCCAAGCCCAAAGTCTAGGCAGGGAAGCATCCAAGGGCAGAAAAGGAATACATAATTGTGAAAGAATACATAATTCAGCACACTTGGTGAGCTCCACCATATTGGTCTCTGTTTCTTTCCTCATGTGTTAGTGTCTTGCTTTAAGTTCTTGCCACATGCAGTCTGTCTAGAATGTTCTCTTTCCTGCTCTTCATCTTCTACAAATATATAAAAAATTCCATCTGTTAGATTTTCCCCCATAGCACTTTTCAGAATGGTAAGTGCAAAAATAATTGATTCACTGATTCTTGAATGTCTTCCTCTCCACCACCAAATCTAAATTTGAATAAAAGTGAAAGCTATTTGGGGACAGAAAAGGTGTTAAATCTCTTCTGAAAGATCACCATTTGAGTAATATTTGAATTGCCTAAGGACACGGAGATTGACATTTTGATTAACAAACGCCCATCAGACACTTGAGGCAAGGCTATGAATTTAATCCAGTTTCCACTCTCTACTTTTGACTTCATGGTGAAGATAAAGCCCAAAGGACTTTGGAATTAAGACAACAATAAAAACTGAGATTACCTTGCAAGCAGTAATAAAAACAAGAAGTTATAGGTACCACAATAACAGGAAATCTGTTTTTGGAACATCAAAGATTTTTAAGAATACCATTATTCCCATTCTGTTTTCTGTCAGGATTCTGGAACTTTTATTTTTCTTGCAGCACAGGGGAAATTAGAATGAAGTTAAAATCTATTTGTTATTGACAGTATACTTTCTTTTCATATTGAAAACATCAGTGATCTCATCACGCTAGTTTTGCTTTTCCCTTCTAATGTATATATTTTTAAAAAAACAGCATATTTTCCACTTGCATATAACAGTGGGTTGCACATTCCTGCGGTCCTTAGGAATTATTCTAAAATTGACTGCAGTGGGGGTTTCCTTTGACACTTAACCATGTCACTTCAAAGACTATTTTTAATTATGTGCCCAAGAGAAAACAGAGTTTCTGGTTTTAATTTATTTATAATCATGAAGCCTAGCAAAATCTTTAAAAAAAATAAAAATAAAAACTCTTCCTGGACAAGAAGGGCTATAGTTTCCCACCCCTCTCCCTTTGCAATATAACAATGGTGGAATACCAAGAAACAGAATGAACACAACGTACATCTTGACCTCAATGCAGTCACGTCAAAGAACAGAGGTAATGTAAGAAACTCACTCAGCTTTCAACGTGCTTCTCCTGGGGATTGCATAGCATCATGAAGCGCAGTTCTCTGGGAAGGAAAAAGAAAGCAGAGCCTGCTTTATACTCATATGCATCTCTATGTATATTAGTGTGTGTGTTTTACATTACATTAAATCTTTTGTTGGCTTTCAGACTCTCTCTGAGTGAAAGTGCACAACCAACACCTACACTGTCAAAGTTCACTATTTTCCTTCTAGTCTAGTTTACATATTGCTGCTAGAACCCTTTCATCATGTCACTCGAGGACTCTAAAATCTCCAACAGCTTTCCACCACCTATAGGACCAAGTTCAAACACCATACCTTGTCATTATATTGCATCATTCTCCCTCTGCCAAGGTATCTCCACATTTGCCTCCACAGGAGTCTTCTCCTTCATCTAGACCCAGTCCTCATTGACCCTTGAGTGCCCCTGCTCTTTTTCAGCCTTCCTTTATGTTGTTTCCTATATCTCTTCATTAATTACATGGAACCCATCAAGGTCCATTTAAGACTACACGTATTTACCATTTCACTGAACTAGTGTACCTTTCTTCTTTCTGTGACCAATAATGGCACTTCTTCATATACGACATTGCATTGTTACTCAATTGATTCATAGCCATGCATCAGCAGCCTCTGTTAAACTATATTCTCAGATGATGTAAAAAGTCTGATTTTTTTATCTTTGTTGTACCCATTATACCTATTGATGCTAAACATAACAATACATGCATTACTAAATCTCAGGTATTTTTAAAAGTATATACATAAGTAAAGTTAAATATGTATAAGTATAGTATAAGAGAGGATTATAGTTCTGCAATTTCCCTTCTTCCTCTTTCATAAAAAGGTTTTTTTTGGTATATTTCTCAAAGAAGGGTTATAAGTTCCCCTATGTGTGATCAACAGAAATGAGAACCAGGATGAGCCTTTGAGTGCATACCCAAGGCACATGCTAGTTCTCCACCAACAAAGAAAAGAAATAGTACAGGGTTGGTTTCATAACTCTTCTTGGATGAACTGTGACAAGTATGAAAAATTCATACTCTCTGTAGTCATTCCCATTGCAGAGCATAGGGACATGGAGGGCAGGAGCAAAGGTAAAATATTATAATCATCATGTTAGATAACTTTCTCCTGGATCTGTTTCCTGCTAGATAAGACCAAAATGAAATTTAGTTTGACCATTCACAAACCAGAGCTCCTCAGGTAGTTTATTTAATGTAGCCCTGTGAACTGAAGTTTGGGGAGCTATTGCAGGAGTAGCTCTTCTCAGGAGACTGTTCAGAGAGTCCAGGTACCACTCTGACACCGTTCTATCATATTGGCTCTGCAATTCCAGTTGAAATTAGCATAGAATTTTGCCAATGAAAGCAAGCTGCAGTGGTCTTTTTCTTAACACTTGGAACCCTTACTTGGAAAATAAGATGCTGGCGAGAGTTGAGGGTCTTGAGGTGCACGTTGTTGCAGAAGGTTTTCTGCCATCCTTGCTGTGGCAACTGTGAAGGAGGGTGGCACATAAATGAGTCACCTACCAGGTAAATTGCCAGAAAAAATACAGGGCACCCAGTAGAATTTGAATTTCAGATAAACATCAAATAGTTTTTTTAACATAATTTGTAGAGTATTTCTCATGCAATATTTGTGACATTTAACACATTTATAATTATCTGAATTCAAACTGAGCACCAGTTTATTAAATCTGGCAATCATGTAGACAGATGGTTAAGATGCTTTTATCATGGCAGAAGTAAATAACATTTCCCATAGAATTTTTAGGTCCCTTATCAAAAACACATCTTTTATGAGCCTATCAACTGTTACAGTTGACACTTTCCTTTTAGAAATCAAATAATGCGACATTTGTCTAAAATATGAACTATACTGGAAGAAGAAAATGCCATTGCTAAAACTTAAAATTCTCTATTTTTGCCATCCCATCTCTCAAGTAGAAATACTTAGTATCTTGATTTAGAGAAAACTCAGTAATGATAAAATAACTACTATCAAACTCAGCATCCATATGTAGAGGATTGTGACAAGGAGGGTACATCTCATTTTTAAGCAGGTATACAAAAATTGTTATTGAAAAACCATTTCTAAAAAAAACTTCATGGTTCCAGCTAAGTCAGTCAGTCTTATAATGGGCTCCTTCCATCCTCTCTGACAGTCTTTAGTCAAGACAGTCTTTAGTCTTGACTTTAGTCTTGACTGAATTTACCAGCCTCAGGATACAGGCTATGTATCACACACTAGCATCAACAGGTGCAGGAAGCCCTGCTCTGCAGCCTCAAATGTACATTTCTGGATGGATCTTTCTCATTTGCTGTTATTCTTTCTAAATAACAAAAATCTGTTCCTGACTTCTCAGCATGGTTGGTTATCATCAATGAATAAAACTCCAAAGAAAACAAAAGACATCACCCAATTTGGATTCTGCTCAGTAAAAATTAGTATCTTTAGTGAATGCAGGACTGTGAAACTGGCTGCTTTTCCATGACTGTGGTAACATCTGGTAATGCGTATTATGTCCTGATCCACACGAAAAGATCTGAGAAGAGCAGCAAGGATGGGACGACAGTTTAGCCAGAGATTTGGAAAGAGCCATGTGCATAGACAAGAAGTATGCTTGACCTATTTTGTTTTACTTGGAAGATTCACACTACCAATCCCATGGTTTTGGATAAAATGTTAAAGTGTTTACCTAAGAATTTTTGACTGGCAAGTTGATGACTGATTTATAAATTAAATCAGGTCAAGAAGACACTTGATTGGTAAGTATGTGCTAGTTGCTGTGCTTACTAAAAGTTAGGGAGACACTCAAAATGAGAGCCATTTAGAAAGATTGACTGAAAATTATAGCTTTGTAGAACTTACGTCCTGGGGAGTTCAGATGAAACTAGAATTGGCCTTATGTATATAGCCTAATTTTTTTCCAAATTAAACATATTATTTAATCATGTATTTTACTTTGGAAGCATCTTAGAAGAGTTTAAGGGTATTGTTTTCTATTAATGCTATTCCACTGACTAGAATTCTTTTCCACAACCAACCCTATTTCTGAAGTAAAAGTGGCTTTCCTCAGCCTTTAGAATCTGTTTCCAAAGCTCAAAAGGCAGGTGCCACCTGGTGGAAATTTATTAGAAATCATTTTGATTCCTACTGGGCCATGGAAAAGCTGTACACTTTTCTCTTTTAAAAATGCACATATGGAGGCTGAAGCAAGAGAATCGCTTGAACCCAGGAAGCAGAGGTTGCAGTGAGCTATCGCCCCACTGCACTCCAGCCTGAATGACAAAGAGAGACTCCATCTAAAAAATAAATAACTAAATAATTTTAAAATGCATTTATTTCTTGTCAGTGAACAGAAGTTATTCCTGTCACTTCAGAAGTTTATTTTCATAAATTATGTAATTTTCAATGAGATCTGTCATTGAAAAACACAAAGATTTGGAAGGTGGGAAGACAAAGCTGAGAGAGAAGTCATGTCATGTCACAGGGCTCCCTAAGTCAGCAATAATATAGGGAACATGGTGAGAGGAGTTTACAAGGTTCCATTTGATTACCCTAAGTGATTGTCCATAGCAAGTCTCGCTTCTGCCAGGATTTATTCAGCAGTACAAAATTATATCCTATTTCCTTCCTAAGAAATAGAAAACTAAGAGAAAGAAAAACAAACTTTTAATTATTGCATAACTTTTAATTTTTTTCAAATTACAAAACATACTTAATCATCTAAATAAAGAAGGAGCAATTAGTCTGAGTACCTTCCATTTATGTGTGTCATGTTTAAGTTATTCTCAAGAGAACATTAGTTAAATAATTAGAGCTGTGTTGCTAAGCAAAGCATTTCAGAAAGAACTATTTACTTCTTGTTAATTCAAAGAATGAAAGCAAAGAGAAACAAAGAGAGAAAACAATAGCCTGAGAGAAAAAGAGAGAGAGAGAGAAGGCATGTGAGAGAACCAAAATAAGAGAGAAAATGTAAGGGAACAAAGGAAGAAAAAAAGGAAAGGAGTGGGGAGGGAGGAAAAAACGAGGAGGTTGGTAATAATTAGGTCATTGTTGTGGTTATTTAAGGACTACATAAGCAATATTCACATCTCTGAGAAATCAAACTGAGGAACTTCTTTCTGAGGACTGTCAATTCCCCACTTGTTAGGTTTTTAACAACTTGAGTGACAAATCTTCAGCAAGTTTGAGGTTTTGACTTGTGTAAAGAGAATGTCTGAATTCTTGGGGAAAGTGTGTAGTGTCATAACTAATGTCCAAATATAAGTAGTACTTCTAAAGTAAACAGATTTACAGGAAGTTTTCAGGGACTTCGAAGGTTCTGTAAATACTCGTTTTACTTATCCCTGAACACTGGCTTGAAAGACTGTTCTCTTTTTCACTAGCAAAAGTTAATGAGCCACTTCTGAACTTGTATGGAAGCTAAGGCCAAGAATTTAAGTTTATGTCACTGAGCTAATACGTTTTAAAAATAATTATTATTTTAGTAAAATCAGTAACATCCTTTTCATTGCCTTCCTATTACTTTTACAGAGTAGGTCTCAGTTCATCGTTGTTAGCACACAAGAAGCATCTGAGAAGAGTTTTTTTCATAGTTCCCGGCTATGAACGGAGAACTCAAGTTTCTCAGTTCACAGCTGTTAGCGCACAACAAGCTGCTCAGTTGTTAGCAGCTGCTTGTGTGCAAACTATGAATTGAGAAACCTGAAAAAAAAAACTTTCAAGCGAGTTTTCAGGGGTAGGTAAAAAGACTGTTTACAGAACCTTCGAGGTCTCTGAGAACTGCCTCTAAATCTGTTAACTTAAGAAGTACTCATATTTGGACATTAGTTATGGCCTTACACACTTTCTCCAAGAATTCAGATACTCTCTTTACACAAGTCAAAACCTAGAACTTGCTGAAGATTTGTCACCCAAGTTGTCAAAACTTAACAAGTGGGCAAGTGACAATCGTCTCAAGAAGGAAGCCTATACCACAGGAAATTACAAGGGTCAGTGCAAAGGATCCATTCCAGTATTGTGTTACTTACCACTA